TGTTCAATTTACTTTCAATGTATTCAAATTCTCTATTGTAAGCTTTCTACAAAATTATAATCAAATTTTCTTTCGTCCCGATGCGACCGAGAAAAGGCGGAAGGTAGTCTAATGGAGCAGACTACTGCCGCACGGTGTCCCTTTCTGTGCCAAGACGAAAAGCACCCCGTGAAAGTTGGTATCAGAGCTGCGGCTCACGACCCTTGATAAGAAAGCTATGGATCCAATTACATCCCACACCACTGAAGTGGTAGAGCCTCAAAAGAAGGGTACTACTAAACAGCGCGTGGATGCGCTTGATGAGACAACTACTAGGCTGTGCTATGCTTTGGAAGGTCTTGAGGAAAAAGTCGAGATGGCCAAATCCGAGATTCGTGGATTACACATCCAACTGGATGAAAGCCAAAGGGCTTGCGCAGCAATGACTGAAGCTGCTGCAATCATTCCTGATCTGCAGGATGAAATGGAAGCGTTGAGAGCTCAATTGTGGGTACTCCAACGTGCGGTGGGCAATGGGTACGCTCCCGTACCTGAGTATGCTTGTAGACTCAGAATTCCTAAACCGTGTACCTATGGAGAGGCACATGATGCAAAAGAAGTCGAAAATTTATTGTTTGATATGGAACGGTACTTTCTCACAGTTTCGATTGAAGACGAAGCTAGAAAGGTAACCGCAGCTACCATGTATCTGGGTGGAGATGCAAAACTATGGTGGCGAACCAAATATGCTGACATTCAGGCCCACAGGGTTCGAATAAATTCTTGGGATCTCTTCAAGGAAGCGATCAGATTGCAATTTTTCCCGAAAAATGTCGAGTATCAGGCTCGACGGGCACTTCGAGACCTGAAACACACGAGCTCTATCAGGGAGTATGTGAAATCCTTCTCAGGGCATATGCTGAATATTAGAGATATGTCGGAAAAAGATAAGCTCTTCACCTTTATGGAAGGGTTGAAACCGTGGACACGCACGAAACTTCAAAGACGGAAGGTTACTGATTTGAGCACGGCCATGGGAGCCGCTGAATACTTGAGCGACTACCAAACAGAATCTAGAAAAGATCGACCTTCGGGGAATAATCAAGCAATTGGAGGTGGTAACAGATCTTACAGACCCAGCTCGAACCCAAATGGGGGAGAGCCTTACTCTCAAAATAGAGAAGGAGCTTATCAAAGCACATGTAGCTTTTAGGGAAACTATCATAATAGTCGTCAAGGAAATTTTAACGGCAGCAACAGTAACAACTGGAACAAAGGAAAAGCAACGGAGGGTCGAACTGATGCCACTCTCAAATTGAAGTGTTTTTTATGTGAAGGACCTCATCGGGTGTCGGAGTGTCCTCAGAAGTGGATGGTGAATGCATACGACAGTTAGCAAGTGGCGGTTCAAGTTCAAAGCAAGAGGCCTCACAGGCTAATTGTCATAGCGAGACTGACTCTGAAGAGGATGAGGACGTAGTTGGGGCATTTTCACATCGGTGCAACACACTGTCGCATCGGGTTGCTGAAAAGGATGATGTCCCATTGAAAGAGGCAAAGATGGAAGAAGCGAAGGCTCGAATTTGTAGGGCCAAAGGCTTAACGTACATTGATGTAAAAATCAATGGGAAGCCAATCAGGGCTATGGTGGATACTGGTGCTACCCACAAATACCTTGCATGTACCGAAGTAGAGCGGCTCAGACTTGTTCTAGAAAAGGCTAGTGAAAAAGTCAAAGCAATCAACTCCGCTGCTCAACCAATAGCTGGAGTGGCGAAATCGGTGTTGATCAAAGCAGGTCCTTTTGAGGGAAGGACAAATTTATCTGCAGTTCAGATGGATGATTTCAAGCTTATTCTGGGATTGAAATTTCTTCGGGATACTAAGACAACAGTGTTACCATATTCCGATTCGTTAATGATGATAGGTAATAAGCCGTGTGTTATCTCTACACAAGTTGGGAGGATGGGCGAGAAGAGTATCTCAGCCACGCAATTTAGTAAGGGTTTCAAGAGAAATGAACCCTCTTTTTTGTGCACTCTTCGATTAGAGGAGATCGAAGAGGCGAATGGTCCTATTCCATAACCCGTTAAAAGGCTTATTCAGGAATTTGAGGACATCTTGCTGGAAGAATTACCAAAGAAATTATCACCAAGAAAGACGATTGATCATGAGATTGAACTTATTCCAGGCGCCAAACCTCCTGCCAGGGCACCATACCGTATGTCTCAGCCTGAGCTTGAAGAGCTTAGGAAGCAATTGGGAGAAATGTTGGAGAGTGGAATCATTGTGCCTGCGAAATCACCATACGGAGCTCCTATATTGTTTCAGAAATGGCCGATGGTTCTCTTAGAATGTGCTGCGACTATCGAGCCTTGAACAAGATTACTGTAAAGAATAGCTATCATATCCCACTGGTTGCGGATTGCTTCGATCTTTTAAGTCAGGCGAAGTATTACACAAAAATTGATCTTAGGTCCGGATACTAGCAAGTTCGGATCAAGGAGGGAGACGAAGCAAAGACTACGGTGGTAACCAGATATGGAGCCTTTGAATTTAAAGTGATGCCTTTTGGCTTGACAAACGCTCTACCAACATTTTGTACTATGATAAATCAGGTACTTCACGGGTTCTTAGATGATTTTGTCGTGGTGTACTTGGATAACATAGTAATCTACAACGAGACATTGGAGGAACATGTCCAGCATGTGAGGCAAGTTTTTAATCGGCTACGGGAGAATGAACTTTATGCTAAGCCGTCTAAATGCTCATTTGCTTAGACATCTATCAGTTTCTTGGGTCACATCATTGAACAAGGTAAAATCCGCATGGATTCGAAGAAGGTTACGGCCATCAAAGATTGGCAACCACCAAAAATCGTACGTGATGTACGTTCATTTCTTAGGTTATGCAATTACTATCGAAGATTTGTGAAAGGCTACTCAGAAATTGCACTGCCACTTACTGAATTGACAAAGAAGGATAAGGATTGGGATTGGTCATCCCAATGCCAAGCTGCTTTTGAAAGGTTGAAGAAGTCCATGTGGACGAACCCGGTTTTAGCCTTACCGGATATGGCTAAACCATTCGAAGTTCATACAGATGCTTCAGATTTTGCCCTTGGTGGAGTCCTCATGCAAGAAGGACATCCAGTAGCATATGAGAGCCGAAAATTAAACCGGACAGAACGTCGTTACTTGGCACATGAAAAGGAATTGTTAGCAGTTGTCCATTATCTCAGAGGATGGCGTCACTATCTGCTTGGGTCTCCATTTATTGTGAAGACAGATAACACTGCAGTTAGTCACTTTATGTCCCAACCAAAACTATCGAGCAAACAGGCTCGTTGGCAGGAATTCCTTTCGGAGTTCAATTTTATGTTAGAGTATCGTCCAGGCTCTAGTAATCATGTTGTCGATGCTCTTAGTCGACGGGCCGATTTAGCTACCATCTGCTTGGGCTGATTTAGCTGTCATCTGCTCCGTAGCTGCTCTTTCAAGGAGCACAGTCTCGACGAACACTAGAGACTAAATTCGGGCACTTATGGAGAAGGACCCAGCTACCCAATATTTGATCGACCTCATCAAGTAGGGTAAAACTCGATAGTTCTGG